CTCAAATTGATTTTTCACTTTATTCTCATCTCTTATCTAATTGATATTGTATTGATATTGTAAGGAGAAATTCTGTCTTGGTTACTCATGGGAGTTAAAGGGTTAAGGTCAGCTATTTCAATATCTCTTTGTATTTGTTTACTGTCATTATTTTTCTTTTGTATGTGTGTGTGTTTTTAAGTACCTTAATTTTTTACTTTTAAAAAGATAATATTGTTCTTTCAATCGGGCTATGAAGTGGAGGACAGTTTATACAATCTTCAAGCAATCAAATTTTTTACAGATGTAGAACGTTTCTCTATATGTTAGGATCAGGGTTAAAATAAAACCTGTTGTGGTGTCTCAACGCTTGCCTTATTGAGGTGTCCATTGTATACATGCTTATATTAGGAGAAGAGAAGGAAAGACAAATTCGGAACTTAGTCTAGTTCCTGCTTAATTCATAATGGTGCGTGGAATGATAGTGGTTAAGGCATGGCTGCCACAGTTTTAGGAAAATTCAGGAAAAAATGGATTACTTCAAGGCCTGAGGAAAGTCTGAGAATTTCAGTCTGAGTCAGGGAAAATTTAGATCTTTGAAAGAAGTCAGGGAAAAGTGAAATTTCAAGTTGATGTGAAGTTGTTTTTCAAGTCTTGGCCATTTTCATTTTGGGGAATAAGTAATGAACCCACACCGTCCCTTTTTCTCTTCCAGATTTAATTCCTCAGATCCTCTTGCGTAAAAAATAAAGCTAAATTTAAGACTGACTAAAACTCCAATCAATTCTTGTCTTATCTTAAGGACACACCTTGATCAAACGTAAGCTGATTGGCTATAAGGATCTTTCAGACAAAAGATAAACAAACATTTATCTGAGCTGAGAGGAGGTGACACTCAGTTTCTGTGCCAATATTTCACATTTTCATATTTCGACATCATGATGAAAGATGACACTTTCAATTTTGATGTTGATTACGTATATTATTTAGAATAGTCGACAGATTCCGGGTAGTCCTGACTACTTTATTCTTTCCTAATGCAAGATGACTTGGTTTGTCATGAAATAATACATTTTCTTCTGTACATTTCACAGACCTGACAGATTTTGGATTGCTAAAATAAGCTGTGGGTTTTCAAGAAAATCAGTCCTTTTTCTCATGTGACCTTGAGAAATTACCAATTCATGAAAGCTGTATGTGACTTGCTGAAATTTAATCAGTGACAGATCTAGGAGAGGAGCCCAGGGGGCCAGGGTCTTTCCCATGTTTTGGGTTAAAAATTAATAAATCACAGAAGGAAGAAAAGCCGGCAGGGCAAGCAACAAAAAGCCAGCCCCGCCCCCACCCCCTTAGCTCAAGGTCTGGATCCATCACTGATAATTTATGGGTGGAAAGGATGGCAGTGTGGGGGAATTTGTTCACTAAAAAAAAATTAGTTTTTGAAATTACTTGACATTTCTAGACAAAGATCTGATATTCTCAAGAAGTTTGGAGGAACCCCATTATGGAAACTCTGTGAAAATTCCTGACTGCCGAGCATTACTGTGCTCAACTGCTGGGCATTTAGTCACAGTGTTTAGAAACAACCCTGCACAAATACAAGGATCCCATTACTGGCAACTCAGACGTTTTAGGAGTCGTGAGGTCGCATTTTCCACACCTGCGGATCTGAAAGATTAGCAAGAAAACTGACGTTCCAATAATACCATTCATTACGTTAAAAATTTTAAAGGATGAGACAACTAAAATTTACCCTATGACCTCACCCAAGTTTTTGACTCATCACAACGCCGTTTCGGTAAAGTATACAGTGTCTTGCCTTAGATTGTTGAGATAATAATTTTAATCGAGAAAAAAATCTATCTAGATGTAAACAGCTTAGTTTTAAGCGCCGCCTCTTCACTCACACCCACCCCATATGTATAAGGCTTGACGTCCCAAAATAACTTCTAGATGCGCCACAGTCTAGAATGGAAAATTTTCAGTCTCACTCTTCCTTTTGTAGATATTTTACGAGAGCACGTAGGGTTCATAAATCTGCTCTCAGTTCTTAACTTCGACCCCTTTAAAAAAAAAAAGAAGGAAAAGAAAATGCGTTCCACAAAGTTACTTGATGTTTACCTATGGTGCTTTGCAGCTGTGGCTTTACATGTGCTTGTGCCCGATGTGCATTTGTGTGGGGAAGGTAGGTCTTTTTTTGTAATGTGGCCCTTCCTTACTTTTGTTGGAAGTCATTTGCAAAACTAATATGATACAAGTGCAGTGGAATGGCTAAGGAATAAAATATATCTCCGAATAGTCGAGAGTTTTGTTCTTTCCGATCTGTTTTTAAATACTTTGTTTTTACAACTACGCTAATTTTGACACAGCTAGTTGAATTAACATTTAACATTCCATAAATCTGGAAATTCCTTCTAGCTGACGACCTTGTTACTCAATCTTCCTTTGAGTTAGGATAGTCCATCTTACGTGATGAACCAGCACAGCAAATATGGCGAGACAAACATTTTGTTTTAACTAAAACAGACTTGTGTGAATCTTTAGCAAGCTTGCGATGAAGGACACCATGTCAAAAAATCCCAGGTTAGTGAATCCGAAATGATTGTTTTGACGAAATGCAAAGTGATCAATATTATGCTTGTCCTACGCTTAATGATCTTATACACAGAGCTTTTGATAAATGTATTTTTGAAAAGGCCTTTTTACAGTCATGGAAATTTAAGTATCGCGTGGTCTTGTTTCTCTAGTGTTGTTATTTCGTGCCAAATACAAAGCCGAACATCAGTGTCTGTGTTTATTGATACAGAAAGAAAACGAATTGCGATTGAAAAAAGGCACTGCTGTATTATTAAATTGTAGTCAAAAAAGAAATCAACTGTATTTGCTCTTCAAGCTTTCAGATCTGAAATCAAATTTCACACTAACCCTTGGTTATCCAAACCCAGCTTTGAACAACCTGGCCCAGCTGGTTGACAGATGCCCGAAGAAAGGGAGAAAAACAATTTCGAGGAAGCCTTTTTGCTGTGGGGAGAACTTAGCCTTCGTATTGTTATGATTGTGTTAGTTTAAGGGAAAAGTTGATCAATTATTCACCTCCGGAATATTGCGAAGCACCCCCCTAGAAGAATAGCCTTCAGATCATGAAGTAACATGAATTTGGAGGAAATCTACACTCTTCATAACAGCCCCTCCCTAAAATTCCCAATCTCTCTTGTTAGAGTCCCGCCTTTTAAAGAAATAACCCCCTTCTCTCATACCATTCCCAATGTAAGATTTCCTATCTATTTGTAGAGGGTAACAAGTGTGTCTTTTATGAGAGATCTGGCTTATCAGGGTTGGGTCCTTATGAGAGACAGGGCAAGGGGCTGGTACGAGAGATCTGGTTTATCAGGGTTGGGTTCTTATAAGAGAAATCCTTGTATTGAAGAGCAAAGGCTAACTACAGGGTTGGATTGTTATAAGAGACAGGGTTTACTACATGGCAGTGGGACTGGTATAGGTGTGGCTCAATAGGTTGAGGCAGGACATAGTACATAGTACCTGGGGCTGGTATGAAAGTTGTGGCCATCAACCAGGGTTTATTTATTTCGTTATTTATTTATTCGTGCATTTATTTATTTATTTCCTTGTGTATTGATTTTTTAATTTATTTATTACGGCGATATTTTTTGTGATTATTTTGTTTAATTTACTATAGACTGAAAGACACCCCTGGGCTTTAGAAGGGCTATCCAAATCTGTTACAAAAAAAGATTCCCCGGGAACAGAGTGACAACTCTTTGTCTGGAAAGGAAAATGAAACAGAAGAAATTAATTCCGAAGCAGCAACAGTTTTAATGGAAAAGATTCAGGAAGAGAAGATTCGAGGGAGGAAACAAGATAACAGTGTTAAAGTCCAGTCAATTAAAAAGAAAGCATCAGGTGCTGAAAATTACTCAAAAGATGCAAAAGTAAGAAAAGCTGCTGCCCAAAGTGAGACAGAAGATCAATCCTATAGGAGTCTGTCTCATTCCGAAAGCGGCGAAGACGATCATGGAGAAGAAGAGAAAAAGATCAGTCCGATAACAGCCCGTCAGAATCTGGAAGTGGTAAAAACAAAAGAAAATGGGATGAAGTCCAATTTGTCAAAGAGCTTAAGTCACAAGTGAGAAACAAGTTTGACTGCCCTCTTCGTTGTGGTGCAAAAGCATATCAGCTCCCAAGACATTTGAGAAATGTCCATGGATGAAATGCTGTCAATCTCTTTGACATGCGTCACGAGCAGAGAAACTCCAAAAAAACCCAAAGCCGTACAGGAGAAGCGGAAGCAGAAATACTGCATTGACTGCAGACGCAAGCAACGGTACCTCTCAAAGCACCTTCAGAAACAACATGGCTATCAGAGAGGAACCAAACAGTTCTGGAGGGCATCAAAGGGATCGCGACCTGTTTATGGCTAGACAGACTCTCGCAAGCCGCAGTATGTAGACATTGAGAGTGAGACGGTAAGTGAGATTGACGAAACCTTTTTCATGAGACAGTTAACATACAACTGGAAGAAAAGAAAAGGGAAAACAACAGCTCTCTTAAGAAAAGCTTAACTGGTAAGCGAGTGATCGAAACAATGAGCGCCTCTTTGACTGAAGAGGACGAAAGCACTTTGATGGAAGATGACTTTGAAGGAACCCAGACTGACGATGATGCAAAGTTTTTAGTTTGCGATGAAGACGAAAGCAGTGGAACAGAGATAAACACGGAAGCTTTTCAATTGAACCAGGACAGTAGAATAACTTTCGAAAGGTTTGAGAAGTGGATTCTAAGTCCTGACGGGGGAGAAAAAGAACCAAATTCAGTCTCCTTGGTGGTTCGACAATTGGAGGAAATACTTATCATGCCTGGAACAGAAAACATTCAAAGTCTTTTAGACAAGGCGCAAATTTGTGACAAGTTTTATCCAGAATCTAAAGCCACCCTTAAGGCCGGAACCACTATTAGCTATTTACATTCTTTAAGGACGTTTTATACTTTCGCTATGACTGAGGATGACGTTGGAATTTCTCAAGAATGTGTTAAAATGGCAGATGCCTTGTACAGAAAATGCGGCGAGTGGAACAAAAGTTTAAGGAAAGACGTGAAACGGAGATTCTGGGAAAAAAGATAAGGAAGATTTTTCTCGCCACATAACACCAGAAAAACTACAAGAGTTCGCAAAAAGAGACAGGATAGCAATGCCAACTCACTTACAGTTGCACCGACAAATCAAAGTAAAACCAGAGCACCTATTTGGTTGCGGTTAAGGACCACAAGACTTTTTCACACCACGGTCACGCCAATCTTTGTTTCGACGAAAGCTTGAAGGCATGGGAGGACATTCATGTGAAATGCGCAAGAAATCAAGCTGGCACAGGTGGCGAAGGCATCGCTTTGTTTTTCAATTGGAGAGGAGCGAATCAAGTAGTGATCTTTGAGTAGCATTAACAAGTGCGTGGAGAAAGGCTGGTATGATTGTGAACAACACACGCATATCTGGGACTCTTATGAGGAAGTCCTTAACAACAGCTGTCCGTAACCACAAAAGAAGTGAAGGGGAGTGTTGCTGCTCATATGGCACACAGTGAGCGTACGGCAGATAGACATTACCACATAGTTTAAAAACGAACAAAGTCTACATTAGCAGTCAAGAAATTAGCTACCATTATGCATGGCAGTTCGGCTCCTGTCGTATCATCGCATGAAAGAGAAAACAACTTTGAGTCTATTGTTGAACATGACCCTGCACCTTCACCACTTGCACGGCAGAGTTGGTCGGAGGAAGAGCAAATGGCAGTCCAAGACATTTTTGCAGAACAGATACGTCGCCAGTCGGTTACCATGGCAGAAGTTTTGAAACTTGAGCATACCCATCCACTGCTCAAAAATTGTGAAAACAAAAGACTGCATGATAAGGTGAGACGATTATATCCATTCAAAAAAACTACTGATGGTGAATGTTTGGAAGACACCCAGAAAAGTGTTGACGCCATCGAGGATAGCGATGCCAACTCACTTACAGTTGCACCGACAAATCAAAGTAAAACCAGAATATTTGAGGAGGAAGAGTTCTCCTTATTCAAAGAACTTTTCAAAGACATGATTCAAAATGGCGTGAAGATAGAGCAGAAAGAGGTTGTGAACCGATTGAAACGGAATGGCCACGGATACTTATACGAAAAATACACAAAGCAAAAGGTGACTGACAAGATAAGAGGCCTTCTTACGACCCATATCAGGCAGTGGAGAAGTTAGTTATCTGAAGTTCTTGAGAAATTTATTATTTATTCGTTTGACGCTTGAAGATAGAGCAAGTTAAGAAATACCAAGAAACTTTCCAACGTTTAGTTTGTTTAATATAGAAGAAAAGTTACCAAAAAGGTGCGTTATGTTTGTCTTGGTTGCGCGTGGACGCTTATATCAAGTAAAGGCCAATCTGAAGTTCTTGAGAACTTTATCATTTATTCGTTTACTAAAAGGTTAAGTTTATATCTTTGTTAATGGACTACAAGTTGTATTACAAGCATTCATGTATGGCTTCAAGAGAGTGTGGCATAATATAAACTTCAGTAGCACGCCCTGCATGCTTAATATTTGGATTGTACAAGTAAAATACTTTTAACAAGTGTCAACCTGGTTTTGACACATGTGTCACCACATCGACGTTACTAGTTCAGTTACATTTTATTGCCACACGCAAGGTTAGGATGGGTTTTCGCTAAAAATTTCATTTTATGACTTCGCAATTCACTTGGTGGTTTTATGTGATAACATTGTGGAATCGCCTGTTCTTTACGAGACTTAAAAATTTCATGTTTTCAAAATTTCATATGTTTTGTAAAGAAAGGTCCAAAGAGTCCAAAATATATAAAAAACTGCATTGCTCCATTATTACTTGTTTGGTTTTATGATATGAAATAGTTTTGCCTTAAACAAGTTAAAATGGAATCAGTCCACCTAATGTCGTTTTCAGTGTTGTTAAGTCCACAGTTTCCACAAAATGTCTTAAAAATTTTTTCATGTTTTCAAAATCCACAAATTTCATAAGGACCTTGTTATTTATTAGCCAGAAATAATATTCATACAGGTTTAACAGTATGGCAGGATGAGGAGAACTCCAAGAAACCATTAGGCTTATAGGAGACGCCACCTCGGTTGTCAAAATGTTGTGGATGTGTATGTGCGGCTTGGCCAATTCAGACTCATTTCATTTAAAAAAAATCATCTTTCTTTTAAAAGTAAAAACGCCAGTCAAACCAGTGATCGACATTGAGCTATTCTTGTATCATAACAGTTATTTGGTCGATGTATTCTTGTATCCTATTTGCAGGCAACAAGCTGAGAAACATCCGGGGGCAATAGTTAGTTATGATGAGCTATTTGCAATGCGTTGACTTGGATCTAAGACGCCAATTTAGCATTCATTACTATGAGATACGGAAAAGGTCAAACATTTTTAATTATTTTAAGAATTAATTAAATTTGCGTGGACGATGATTAAGGAACACCATG